TCACTGTGCACCAGCTGACAAGAAGGCACTTCCAGGCTGACGCTTAGCCAACGGACCATGGCAAGACAGAAACTTAGCATTCACTCCATCAGGTACAATCCTCTTCTCTTGCCTTAGCTTAGTGTAATCAGCACGGTTAAACTTTGTAAATCCCCTGCAAAAAAACAAAAACACAAAATCAACATCAACAAGAAGCCTACAAGAGAAATCCTTCAAAGAATCGAATTAAGTGTCTATAACACAAATCATACCATTTCCTGCTAACGATAATCTTTTGACGACCAGGGAACTTGAACTTAGCACGACGAAGAGCCTCCTGAGCATGATGTCCATGAGCGTCTTTGCAACGAACAGAGAGAAGAACCTGTCCAATGGCAACTCTAGCACAAGTACCAAGAGCTTTTCCAAAAGCACCTCTCATACCGGTCTGAAGCCTATCAGCTCCGGCGCAAGAAAGCATCTTGTTGATCCTAAGAACATGAAACGGGTGAACCCTAATCCTCAAATGGAACGCATCTTTACCAGCTGACTTCACCATGTACTTGTTGCAAGCGATACGCGCAGCTTCGAGGGCTTCACTGGACACGTTCTCTTTCTCCCATGAAACCAGATGAACACAGTAAGGAAACTCGTCCACTCCTTTCTTCTTCATGCCAACGTCGTAAATCCTGATCTTTGGGTCTGGAACTCCACGGCAGTACCTTGATTTAGGGTATGGCTTTCCCTTTATTTGACGGTAACATCTCGCAGGTCCTACAATTTTACATCTTCAATGTTAAAAGATGAATCTTTTTGTTTTCTCTGCTACTTCAATGTTAAAAGATGAATCTTTTGCTTTCTCTGATACGCAAATCAAACAAAAGCCTAATCCTTTTGTAAATTCCGAGTTTAAGCAAATCTAATCTGCGATTCGAGTGATGATTCAATTTCAACCCAATTTCTACTGTTACATCAATGACTAGCTCAAAATATCCCAAAATTCTAAATTCCGAGCTTAAGCCTTAAGCGAATATGCAATTAGCGAAACTACTTAAACCCAATTCCAAAAATCCATTTCCGGTGAGATCGACAAACACTAAACACTAGCGAAAACGATAAGAAGAGTAAAGATCAATCCTTTTCATATAAAATCGATTACTTTCAGTGAAATTCAGAATGTAGGTTAGAGAACATAAGCAAGATTAAGAGATAATGAAGCAATCTACTTACTTCTCCCCATCGCGTTGGTTCGGCTTCTCTGTTGGTGTTTGAAATTCTAGAAATGAAGAAGACGACGGCGTGAAATTTTATATCTTTATATGAGAAAACAAAGAGCCCTAACTCTTTACGTCACGTAACTGGATTTGAAAAAAAAAACTAGGCCCATTAAGAAAACTAGGGCCCAATATGACCTTTTAATCGGGAAAACAGAGACTTGTGTTAAGCCGGCGGCGTTTTCCCGATGAAATCGGCGATTCTGTCACGCCTGAGTCGCAATTTCGTGACAGCAACACACGTTGATTCGTCGTTCTCTTCACGATGCCTGAAACTTATCGAAGACCTAAGATCCTGCAGAGACACCGTCGAAGTTTCTCGAATTCATGGCTACATGGTGAAAACAGGGATCGACAAGGACGATTTCACGGCGAGCAAGCTCATTGCTTTCTCGATACAAGACATTCGATACGCCTCGTCGATCTTCGAGCAGGTCTCCAACGCTAATCTCTACATGTTCAACACTATGATCAGAGGTTACTCGATGAGCGACGAACCGGAGCGAGCCTTTCGCGTTTTCAACCAATTGAGAGCTAAAGGTTTCGCCTTGGATCGATTCTCCTTCATCGCAACTCTAAAATCATGTGCTCGTGAATTTCGCAGCGGAATCGGCGAAGGGGTTCATGGGATCGTGTTGAAATCCGGGTTTATGTCGTTTACCGATTTGAGGAACGCTCTTCTTCAGGTTTACTCTGTTTCTGGGAGGATCAGTGATGCTCGGAAAGTGTTCGACGAAATGTCGCAGAGCGTTGATGCTGTTTCGTTTAGTACTTTGATGAATGGGTATGTTAAGGTTTCTAAGCCTGCGTTGGCTCTGGATTTGTTCAGGGATATGCGGAAACGTGAGGTTATTGTTAGTGATAGTACTCTGCTTAGCTTTCTTTCGGCTATTGGTGATCTTGGAGACTTGTGTGGAGCAGAGTCTGCTCATGGGCTATGTATCAAAAATGGGTTTGATTTGGAGTTGAATTTAATCACAGCTTTGATAAGTATATACGCCAAAATTGGGGACGTAGTTTCAGCACGCAAGATCTTTGATTGTGCTGCTCGAAAAGACGTTGTCACATGGAATTGTATGATTGACCAATATGCCAAAATGGGTCACTTTGGAGAGTGTTTTTGGCTACTGAGGCAGATGAAGTATGAGAAGATGAAACCGAATTCGTCTACGTTTGTTGGGCTGTTGTCTTCCTGTGCGAGCTACGAAGCAGGATCCGTAGGACGCAGTGTTGGAGACTTGGTGGAAGAGGAAAGAATAGATTTGGATGCGATACTTGGAACCGCACTCGTTGATATGTACGCAAAACTAGGGATGCTTGATAAAGCTGTTGGAGTTTTTGATAGAATGAAGAACAAGGATGTGAAGTCCTGGACTGCAATGATCTCCGGTTACGGAGCTCATGGGCTAGCAAGAGAAGCGGTAAATCTGTTATACAAGATGGAGGAAGAGAAAACCAAAGTGAAACCGAATGAGATCACATTCTTGGTTGTGCTGAATGCTTGTAGCCATGGAGGTTTGGTGATGGAAGGAATCAAATGCTTGAAGAGGATGGTTGAGACATACCGCTTCACACCCAAAGTTGAACATTACGGTTGTGTGGTTGATCTTTTGGGTCGAGCAGGGCAATTAGAAGAAGCATATGAATTGATACGAAACTTACCGATCACAAGCGATTTGACGGCCTGGCGTACTTTGTTAGCTGCTTGTAGAGTCTATGGGAATGCAAATTTAGGGGCACGTGTGATGGTAAAATTGGCTGAAATGGGTGAGAGACATCCGGCTGATGCAATTCTTTTGGCTCGAACAAATGGTGTTGCAGGGAATACACAAGGTCAACAAAACTCATTAGGTAATGAGTTGTATAAAGAGAGAAAAGAAGTTGGATACAGTGCCATTGAAATAGAGTAGTAGTAGTAGGGAGGCAAATCAATGAGCTTCATTTACCGTTGTATTGAAAAAGGTAATCATATTAACAATTGTTGTCCATAGTGCAACAATAAGTTAGTTAAAACCATGTATATTATACTTTTTTAATTGAGTATTCTATGCATTATAACTTTGAACGAAAATCTTGAACGGTCTCTTTAAACTGATATTATGTAACGTGATCCACAAGCTTTAACCTTTTTTTCCAAAACTATCTCTACTGTAATTCCTATGTTTTTTTTTTTTTTAAAAAGCAAATTTCAAAAAGGAAAAGGAAGAAAAAAAAAGGGAAAATACAAGTATTGAAGGACTCGAAAATTGGAGATAAAAAGAAGGGTCTCGAAATAGAAATCTGTGAACACAAGATTGAAAAGAGAGGCAATTAGGGTTTTGGCGAAATAGAAAAATATTTTAGTATTGCAATCGGGCATGGAAGGTGGCAGTGAGGAGGGTAGACGTGATCACAGTCGGTGTCTGGTCGGGAAATTCGTGACGAAGAAGGGGAATCGACCAGTGACCATAGACAATGAGCTAAAAGAAAATCTCAAGAGAAGGTGGAAGTTTTGTTCGAGAGGCTTTGATGTGTACCCATTGGACAAGGGTTTGATTATGGTTGAGTTCTTGCTGAAAAAAGACATGAAGAGCGTTGCAAACATAGGAATATGGACAGCGAAAGGCACAGTTCTACTGGTCAAGGAATGGCCGACCGTAGGCTCTGTGGCTGAGATCGACTTCTCCATGTTTACCTTGTGGGTTAGGGTAAAAGGCTTGCCCTTATCACGATACACACAAGGAGAAGCTCGACGCATTGGCAAAAGGCTTAGTAGTAAGCCACTTAAGGGAATAATAATTGATCCCTCGAAAAGACGGTTCCTTGTCTGTGCGGAGATTGATATTGGAAAGCCTTTAGTTCCTGGCTATTTCATAGACAAACATCAACGCAAGCCAATCTTCATCCAGTTCAAGTACAGATACGCTGGGCCGTTCTGTCAATGTTGTGGTATGGTTGGCCATACGATATGTCCGAAACCTCTCAAAGAAAGTCCTCTAACTCGTAACATCAAGAGGCCCATGTATGGTATATGGATGAACGATTTGATTTCCCAAGCGGCTGATGCGAGATTAGAAATAGAGTTCCCAGAGAAACTGGTGGAAGATTGGACGGAGCTGGAGGAGACCGTCCCTTACCCACAGTTCTTCATAAACCTTGATGTTGCTTATGTTTGTGCAAGTGATCATGAGTGGCGCGGGAAGAGATTGTATCGATATAACTTGGAGGAACTTGTTGAACACGGTTTCCGATTCCCAACAGCCTTTCTCACAACCGCACTAGAATCCAGCGATGACCCTTGCAAGGTTTTGGCGCGTGAGATGGATGAGAACGTCCCACTGGTTGGGTTAACATTTGAGGACAAGGTGGAGATTGCTAGCAAGTTTATAGATTACACAATGAAAAGCAAGGAGGTCTGGTCAAGACGTAGATGGGTTCAAGTCAAAGTTTCCGTGATCAAAACAACCAAGATGGTATCATGCGTTGATTTCCAGATAATGCTTCAAGAAAGCAAAGACAAGGAATATCATCGTCAGCTTGACCAGGGGATAAGAAAGATGATCGAGAGACGTGTTGAAAACAACGACAACATAGTCTCGATGGAGCTGTGGAGGAGTTGCATTAAAGATGTGGTTGGGGAAAACCAGTTAATGCCTTTCAATCTAGAAAAGAGATGCATAGATGCTAGAAAAGAGGCGATTGAGTATGGCATCTCCTTATGTAACGGCTTGAAACGAGCTTCCGCGACGGAGGTTGATAAGCTTGATAAGAAAAAGGTAAGTGGGGATGAGATGGATGAGTTAGAGCCGTGTGCAATCTGTGAAGAGGGAATGTTCCTTGGGGAGGAAGCAACTCGTATGCCTTGCTCTCATGTCTTCCATGCTGCATGCATCGAATCCTGGCTTGAGGTCAACTCTATTTGTCCGCTCTGCCGTCACAAACCGCTTTGCCGTCACAAACCCACAAAACAAGAAAAGCCTTGTCCACGTTACCTTATGAAATACCGCCTCCTCAAACAGCGTTATCTTTAATTAATTTCTGTCCATGTATCTTGATTAATTTATGCAACCTAAATATTTTCAAGGAATACATACAACTTATGAGAGTGGTCTCTTATCTTATCCCTACAGCGCTGCTCTTGACAAGAACGGAACATAAGGCTATTTGTCTCTTTGTTGCTGGCCTGTCTCTCGGGCTCTTTTTTCTTCTTCACTGAATCATACGATAGATTAAAGAAACCTCACAAGGAGGGAAATAGTACCAGATACAAAAACGGAGAAGAGAAAAAAGCTTAAAAAGAAGCCAACAAAACACCAAAGCATAAACAAGCTCTGTTTTTTTTTTTTATCAAAAAACCATCATAAACAGAGGAACCGTAAACTCTGTAGTACCCAAACGGAGGGTGAAGCATCTCGCCAATTTCACTCAACATCTGCAGGACTGGGTTTCTCTTTCTCAAAAACTTCCCTCATCTAGCGAGGAGCTCCATCTGCCCAGTGCCGTGCGAAGGTCTACGGGGGCTTAAGGCAAATTTAGAATCGGGGCATTTTTAATATTTTTTTTAAAAATTATTATAAAATAGATCAAAGGGATTTTAAAAAAATAATTAGCAAATAAACAATACAAAAGTGTCTTATTCATGTTCATTTAGACCTGAATTTAGAAGATTCAAATGTATTTAATTATAGTTTTCTAAAACTATATATATGATATGTAGTTTGAACTTTTTTTCTTGTTTTAGTGTTAATTAAAAGTTATTTTTCTAAAATTAATGATTAAAATAAAAGATACATCAAATGAGCATATCATAAGTAAATATGTTCAATATATACCGTTAGTATAAGGAAGGGCTCGAACTCCGCTTACAACTATTAAACCAGAGCCACTTAAACCACTATGATAGGAGTCGTCCCTTGATACACAAGGTCTCTGTCTAGATATGAGTTCAATGGCGTCACGATTGAAAAGGTCCCTTAGAATCTCCATGATCCAATTCTGTGTCGAGTTGTCAATCAAGTATGCTACTCTGAGATCAATCTTCATCAAAGAATGTCTACCTCCAGGGCGGCTTGGGATTCCATCATATAACCAGTTATCCACCCACACCAATGTATCTCGCCCGTTTCCAATGGACCTTCTTAATCAAAAACTAAGTAATTCCCGCCCAAATAGGATACTTCTCTCCATCCATAAGAACACCTGCGGCCTTTTGACGCTGACATGAGATTGGTATCAGCATAGTATCTACTCTTGAAAGAACGGCCAAAAAGACTGTGGGGATCATGGAGAAGTCTCCATGCCTGCTTAGCTAACAGAGCTTGATTGTAAAGCTGAAGATCTCTAAAACCAATCCCTCCAAGTCTCTTAGGTAGTGTTAGCTTCTCCCATCCCACCCAATGGATTTTGTTCTTATTTTCCTCTGTAAGGTCCATCATGGCACTTGTACGGTCCTTACAGAGCTTTACTGGTAGCTTAAAGCATGTCAATGCATAGACATGCATTGGCATAGCTACTGACTTAAGTAGTATCTCTTTCCCTCCCTGAGATAAGGTCTTGGCGTACCACCCATTCAGTCTCTTTTGACAGTTGTCCTTAATATAACCCAGAAGCTGCTGCTTGGATCCGCTCAAACATTTCGGTAAACCCAAGTATTTCCTTGTACCTCCTTCCATTTGTATACCAGATTTACTCTTGATCCATACTTTGACGTTAGCCGAGACTCTAGATCCAAATGTGATAGCTGATTTGACCGTATTTATTTTCTGACCCGAGACCTTTTCATAAATACCAAGCACATCAAAAAGCTCCTGACATTGATCACTTGATGCGCGGCATATAAACAGGCTGTCATCAGCGAAGAGCATGTGGTTGAGTGATGGTCCTTCTGGGTGAAATTGTATGCATGTAATCTTTGCTTGTTGTTCATATAGATTTAAGAGATGGGTCAGAGCTTCAGTACATAGACCAAAAAGAAAAGGAGATAAAGAATCTCCTTGGTGCAGCCCACGTTCTGGTCGGATTTGGCCATATGGTTGTCCATTTATCAGAACAGAGTATGTAACTGTTTGGACACAGGTCATAATCCAAGCAATACACCTTGTATCAAAACCCATAGCCATCAATAGCTCCTGTCAAAACCTCCATTCAACCTGATCATAGGCTTTAGACATGTCTGTCTTAATGGCTATGAACTCCTCTGAGATTTCCGGATGTGAACTAAGACTGTGTACAATCTCATGCGTAATTTGTATGTTATCAGAGATGAGGCGTTCCGATACAAAAGTTGCTGCGTAGGAGAGACGATCGCTGGTAAAATCTTTTTCAGCTGAGAGGTAAAAATCTTAGACATAATCTTATACAGCACTGTACAAAGACTAATCGGTCTAAGATCGGTCATTCGTCTTGGTGTGGTAATCTTTGGGATAAGGGTAATATGAGTATGGTTCCATTCTCCCTGAATCTTCCCACTGCTGAAAAACAGTTTCACATCGGCAAATAGCTGATCTTTCACAACCTCCCAATATTTTTTATAGAAAAAACCTGTCATGCCATCATGACCTGTTGCTTTTTCACTTTCAGTAGAGAAAATAGCAAGTCGAACTTCCTCGATTGTCACCTCACAAGTGAGGTCTGCATTCATACGTTTTGTCACTCTAGGAGAAAAATCAGAGAAAACATCACTAAAAGACTCTGGTGAGGATGTCTTGAACAACTCTGAGAAGTATCTCTCTGCAACCCCTCCCTTGCTCTGATTGGAGAATTGCTCTCTTTCGTGCTCATCTGACAGGAACTTCAACGAATTCTTATCTCTATTAGATTTAACCGAAGCCTGAAAAAAACTTCGTGTTTCTATCTCCTTCTCGAAGTCACTTTTCTCTTGATTTCTGTCTCCAAAAGATCTCTTCATCTCGATATACCATAGCGAGCTCAATCTTAATCTTTGCTATTCTTCTGAACCACGGATGTCGCTTTTCTTCTTCCTCCTTAGCTCTTCTCTTAACCGTTTAATTCTCACTTGAGAATTTGGTGCCACTTGTCTCTTCCAGGCACTGATTGCTCTACGGAAATTGACAATACGTGTGAGGCTCGAGCCCGAGTTATTCGAGCACCCACTATCCCAGGCGTTTTTAATGACAGTAACAAAATTAGGGTCCAGAGGCCAACGTTTATCAAAATGGAACTGACCACGAAACGGTTCCTGGTCTCCCATAAATTTGACCAAAACAGGTCTATGATCAGAAGGAAATCTCTCAAGGAACCACTGATATCCGCTCGGAAACATGTTGAACCACGCCGGGTTAGCAAAGCACCTATCCAAACAACACATGATCGTTTGCTTGTTTCTCACGCGACGCCAGGTGAACTTATTCAATGTGCTTCCCAACTCCTGCATATCACAATTCTGCAGAAAGGTTTGAAAGGTTCAACGGATGTCGAACCTTCCCACCAGTCTTCTCTTCATTAGATAGGATTTCCTTGAAATCAGCTATCATACACCATGCCTCTTTTTGACTAGCACCAAACCTAGTCCCTCTATCCCACACTTGTGCTCGAAACTTTGGGTTTGGATTCCCATAGATGACTGAGAGGAACCAGACCCGACCAACACTTGTAACTTTCATATCCAAAACATTTTTATATTCCTGAAGGAATACAATATCCTAACTTTCCTTCCAAAAGATCGCAAGACCACCACTAAGACCATCTGGTTTGATTGTTCTGAACCATTTATATCCCAGTGAAACATGAACCTCAGCCTAAAATGCCAACTTATTTTTCGTCTCCATTAAGAATATTATATCATGGAAATGCAAACGTCGCATTTCCTTGATCCGATCAACTGTCACGGGATTCCCAACCCCACGACAGTTACAACTCAAGATACCTATTGGATCGTCGGCGGATCTAACGGATCCACCCTTGATTGGTCTCTCTTGACACACTTGGCTGAGACCTCTCCAACTTCCTCCACCTTTCTCTTAATGCAACTTGACTCCTTCTGACCCGAGCTTAGTTGTTGCCCTATTTCAGTTTGAGCAGCTTCATTGCTCCTCTGTTGTGTTCTCCTTACTGAAGATTGAGGTCTTCTACGGGATTTCTTTACTGTGCCTGTCCCGGTCGAGCTAGCACCAGAAGTGCCTGCTCTAAAAGCCATAGAACAGTCAGCAAAGGACAATCCCGTGGATGCAGACAACTCCATGCTCCTGAGTAGATCCATATTGGAACGTCGACCCTGCTAACACTGCGTCACTCATCAGCTTATCTCCTTCTACATTAGAGTTATTCTGTTCTGGGAAATGGAACACAAGCCCTTTATCTTTATTAATGTATGTGGTGCCGGTTCAGGACGCAACAGAGTTCTGTCCCAAGGAATCTCTCTCCAAGTCTAAGATAGATTGTTTTACTCTCAACTCTCTCGCCTTCCTCCCCGTCGGATCCACCACTTGCAAATATTGTCTAGCCACGTTTAAAACATCGTTATCAATCTTCAACTTCCCGGTTCTACTATCCATACCGACTTGATCTTCCGTTAGTACACCAAAAAGAGGATCATCAGGTAATAGTTTTGGGCGCTGGACATCTACCACAACTGGAACCGATTTCGGTGCAGGAACTGGTAACTTGATTAGGTTTTTTCCGCGAGCAGGGTTATCAGGGCATCTGGACTTGTTGTGTGTTAACCTCTAACACTGGAAACATCGTTTTTGTATCCTTTCATATTCAAATGTTACCGTGACCACCGATTCATCCGGCAGCTCCACTGTCTTGAAGTTGCGAAGTGGTTTAGAAGTGTCGAAAAGGACACGAGCCCGAACATATCTCTGACTCTGAGGTTTCTTCGGATCAAAAGCAACCTCAATCACCTGTCCAATCACCTTGCAATATCTGTGATCGTAGCCTCATTGTAGTAATTCACCGGTATTTCATACAGCCTGACCCAAACCGGAAGGATAGTAAGAAAATCGTCTAAAGGTTTTTCAACCCATCTCTCCAACGTAACACACCAATCATCTTGGGTATAAACACCTACTTTCAAGACCTTTAGTAGATCTTCCTCATGAAAAGTATCCTTCGTGAGGGAAACTCCTCTAACCCTATCAAAACAATTAAAAGCTCTTGGGAGATCCCAAAAAAGGCTTTTCATGTTCTGGTTCTTCGGGTTTCAACATCTTCCCCATGATACTCATTTTGTTTCTGTCAGTGGAGCGATATTTCTTATGGCTAGACAGCTTCAAGGGATTATCTTCTTCGATCGTCATTGATTGCAGAGCTTTGTTAAGGTCCATCTCCATGAGAAGACTATGTGTTTCTCAAAAAAGTGAATAGACGGGAGCAGAAAAACTTACAGACGGTGCCTACACCTCCTAAGGAACTAGGGTAAATTTCTGCTGGTCGTAACTTAAACTTTCTGAAACTGGAAGAAAATGAGAATATCTTCAGCACGAGTTGCCTAAAACGATAGGAAAGAAACCATCTCAATGGAATAGAGAGACCTAAGCCTTACACAAGGCGATTCTGAGTTTTTTTGGTTTGTTGTGATCTTTTATATATATATATAAATGGAGGTTGTTGTGTGTAAGGTAAGATCAGGCCTAAGGCATGAACAGAAGCGGGTGTGGTTTTCTGGATCTTTCTCATGTCTAAGGTAAGATCAGCCTATCCATCGGATATGTGAAAATCTCGTCTCTTGCAGGAGGTGATGAGTTTGCCTCCATCCTTGTTGGGTCGAAGAGAAGGAGAGAATCCAAAGGGAGAGTAAAGAAAATGGAACTAACGTTGTTATATATATGAAAATGGAGGTTGTTGTGTGTTTATAAAAAGATATGAAGAGATTTATTTCTTTGTTCATGCTTGACCTTCAAATTTTTTTATTTTATTTATTTATTTTAAATCTATTTCTCTTAGTATATTGTATAGATATCTCTCTTGTTTTAGTTTGCAATATAAATAAATAAATTTGTTTGGTTCTGATTATTTTGTTAGACAAACGGAAGAGGAATTATGATTAGGCCTGAGGTGTGTGACATTTTAAAACAAAAAAGTTTTGTATTTTTCCTTTTTCGATAATCCTATAAGAGTATGTTCTGCAATTTAACTAATATTTATTTTTATAGTTTGACAAATATTTCAAAGTTAAAATGGGAGCTTTACAAAGTTCTTCAAAAAGTAAATCACATACCAAAAATTCTTGTCATCGTTCATGCATCGCATACAACACAGCCTGTGTTTTTACCAAAAAAAAAAACACAGTCTGTGCTTACACAAGCCAATATTCATTAACCTTGTCTACTTAAAAATCTTGTCCTTTTATTAACGTTTGAACAAACGCTCCTCACCAGATCGAGGATCGACGTCTTTAATCCAACGGCTAGAAAGCTTCTTCAAATCACCACCACCACTGGCTTCAACGTGTGTGATATCTAACCCTCTCCCAACAAGTAAAAACACCAATCTCACGACAGGTGTGCCTCGTCTCAAAACACTGTGCCATTTTAATCTGGGGTTACATATCTTTGTGGCGCTTTTGCACACTCATCCATTTTGCTCGTGCTCGCAGCGTTTCAAGTCTTCCACCATGAAGTCAGAGTATTATCATCATCATCCCATGCATGTATAACAACAATACGTAGAAAACAAACATAGCCACATTTATATTTTCATATAGCCACATTTATATTTTCATATCGCAAAACCTTTTTCTATGTTTTGCGACAGTATTAACTAAAACAACAAGGCAATAAAAGAAACTAGATAATATTCGATATCCAAAGTACAACTCATATACCAACATCCTTTGAGTCACATTATTAAATATTAAATACACATAAAACAAATACGAAAAATAGTTCTCGAAATTTGGACCCTTAAACAAACCTCATATTACAAGCAACGAAAAACAGATTCGGAATCAAACTTTATCAGAAGCATTCGATGCTAAAACCTTCGTTGTCTTTAGGAAGTTCATTCAATTTGGCCACCCTTGATTCTGCCTCTAACTCCATCTTGGCTGCCCCCAACGTCTGGTTTAACATAAACTATTGGATTCCTGCCGGTGTTCCTCACCCTCACTTGAGCTACGACCTATCAGTTCTAGCTCAGGTACAATAACAAGCTGTTGCATTTTAGATATTTATAATATAATTAATTTGACATATATAACATCTTTGCTGTAAATCAATCGTAGGAGGAAAAAGGAATTTGGCATGAGCTTATGGTGAGCGAGTTTGGTGAAAAGAGACGTCATGGATCTTTATCAGTGAACTTGGATTTAACTAATCCAAAAGAAGTGAAGATATTGAAGGAAGAATTGCTTATGTGGTCCACTGAAGAAATGAAAGATCTTGAGATCTTGTTTAAGGTACTGTAACATTTATATCTCCAGCTTCGAAATTCTAGCTAATTAATTTTGGTTGAAGTTTGAGGACTTTGCAAAGTTAGGAAATGGAAATGCAAAGTCCTCAAACTTCAACCAAAATTAAGTAGCTAGAGTTTTGAAGCTGGAGATATAAATGGTAAAGTACCTTAAACAAGATCTCAAGATCTTTCATTTCTTCAGTGGACCAAATAATCAATACTTCCTTCAATATCTTCACTTCTTTCGGATTAATTAAATCCATACTCACTGATAAAGATCCATGACGTCTCTTTTCACCAAACTCGCTCACCATAAGCTCATGCCAAATTCCGTTTTCCTCCTAAGATTGATTTACAGCCAAGATGTTATATATGTGAAATTGATTATATTATAAATATCAATGCAATAGCTTGTTATTGTACCTGAGTGAGAATTGATATGTCGTAGCTCAAGTGAGGGTGAGGAACACCGGTAGGAACCCAATAGTTTCTGTTAAACCGGACGTTGGGGGCAGCCAAGATGAAGTTAGAGGCAGAATCATGGGTGGCCAAGTTGAATGAACTACCTAAAGGCAACAAAGGTTTTAGCATCGAATGCTTCTGATAAAGTTTGATTCCGAATCTGTTTTTCGTTGCTTGTAATAAACCATTTAGTCCCTTTTTTCCTAATTAATAGGAGGTTTTTTTAAGGGTCTAAATTTCGAGAACTATTTTTCGTATTTGTTTTATGTGTGTTTAATATTTGATAATGTGACTCAAAGGATGTTGGTATCTAAGTTGTACTTTGGATATCAATTATTATCTAGTTTCTTTTATTGCCTTGTTGTTTTAGTTAACGCTGTCGCAAAAGGGATCACGATGCATTAGCATAAGAAAGTCAGAATATTGTGTAAATGAACGACATCAAATTAGTTCAATGAAACGTCTGTGTTAAGTAGAAAAAGGTTTTGCTATATGAAAATATAAATGTGGCTATGTTTGTTTTATACGTATTGTTGTTATACATGCATGGGATGATAATGATAATACTCTGACTTCATGGTGGAAGACTTGAAACGCTGCAAGCACGAGCAAAATGGATGAGTGTGCAAAAGCGCCACGAAGATATGTAACCCCGGATTAAAATGGCACGGTATTTTGAGACGAGGCACACATGTCGTGAGATCGGTGTTTTTACTTGTTGGGACAAGATCACACACGTTGAAGCCAGTGGTGGTTGTGATTTGAAGAAGTTTTCTAGCCGTTTGATTAAAGAGGTCGATCCTCGATCTGGAGCGTTTGTTCAAGCGTTAATAAAAGGACAAGATTTTTAAGTAGACAAGGTTAATGAATATTGGCTTGTGTAAGCACAGACTGTGTTTTTTTTTTTGGTAAAAACACAGGCTGTGTTGTATATGATGCATGAACAAGACTAGTATTTTTGTTCTGTGATTTACTTTTGAAGAACTTTTTAACGTTCCCATTTTAACTTTGAAATATCTGTCAAACTATAAAAATAATTATTAGTTAAATTGCAAAACATACTCTTATAGGATTATCCCAAAAAGGAAAAATACAGAACTTGTACGTTTTAAAATGTCACACACCTCAGGCCTAATCATAATTCCTTTTCCGTTTGTCTAACAAAATAATCAGAACCAAATAATTTTTTTTTATATTGCACATTAAAACAAGAGAGATATCTATACAATGTACTAAAGAAATGGATTTAAAGTAGATAAAAAAAATAAAAAAAATTGAAGGTCAAGCAGGAACAAAGAAATAAATCCCTTCATATCTTTTTATAAACACACAACAACCTCCATTTTCATATATATAACAACGTTAGTTCCATTCTCTTTACTCTCCCTTTGGATTCTCTCCTTCTCTTCGACCCAACAAGGATGGAGGCAAACTCATCACCTCCTGCAAGAGACGAGATTTTCACATATCCGATGGATAAGCCTGATCTTACCTTAGACATGAGAAAGATCCCGAAAACCACCCCCGCTTCTGTTCATGCGGCTGATTCAATGATCAAGGTCAACTCTCTTCGCTATGACTTTGTGGTGGGGATGGAAATGGAGGTGTATTAAGGTCTTTGATGGCACATGAAAGTATAGGGACAAAGTTAAAATTGTCAAGGACAAGGAAACAGAGGTGACGTTAGCGCAAGAAAAGGAGGGGCTTAAGAGGACCGTGAACACAGAGCGAGTAGAGAGACTAATACGAGGGACATATCCAGACCAAGGTTGGGTGAAGCTCAACACGGACGACACATCAAGAGGAAATCCTGTCATAGCGGCTTCAGGAGGAGTGATTCGTAATGCAAGTAGGTTGTGGTGTAGAAGCTTTGCGCTAAACATTGGAACATGCACAAGTCCATTGGCGGAGCTATGGGGTGTATATTATGGTTTGTTGATTGCGTGGGAGAGTAAGGCTCATAGAGTAGAAGTCGAGGTGGATTCAGAGATGGTGGTTGGTTTTCTTAAGACAGGGATCAATGAGGTGCATCTGCTATCGTTCGTGATGTATTTGTGCCATGGCTTTATATCAAGGGGCTGGAAATTCGTATTTTTTCATGTGTATAGGGAAACTAATCACTTGTGGACGGATTAGCTAACTATGTGTTTTCTTAGTCATTGGGTTTTCACTCTTTTAATTATGTTCCAGATATTCTTAATTCTTTTTTTAGAAGACTTTGTTGGGGTTTCAACCTCACGTCGAGTATGGTTGTAAGTGCTTATTATTTGAATAAATTAGGGGATTTCACCCTCTCCTTCGACCAATTAAAAAAAAGTCCACGTGAAGTTTTGAAATATTCAAATGGGTTTTAGAAAAAGAAATATAGTGAACTTGTTTGGCTCTATTGTTGTTTCATATTTACAATTGGCTTTGGTATTTTTCAAATGTGTATCATTCAAGTTACCAATAAGATTTTTAATATAGATAACATAAATGTAAATCCTAAACATACATTTTTATTTTGTTTTATTTTGAAGAAATAATTTATGACAGAAAAATATTACAATTATGATTTATGATGAAAGTGTGATATATTGTGTAGATGAAAATTTTTTAATTATGGAAAATATCTTACGTTTTGATAAAATAAAAGATAAAAAAGAAAAAATTACCGGCTGAGAAAACTCTGCACGGCCACCAACAATGGCGATTTGGTGCTAATCGGTGACATAACGCGGCCATCTGCGTTCCGTCCACTATTCACGTGAGAATCAGAATAAGAAATTTGAATTACCACTGGAGAGTGTTAGCTCTCTATTCTTCTAGCCCCTCTCCTTGATGTCTTTGACTTCTTCCCCATCTTTGTCTCTCTCTTTCTCGGCGGCGTATCATAATATATATAAAAAAGATATGGAGAAGAAAAAAACTAGGGTTATAAAATGTAATGGGCCTTAAATATTTTACATTGCTCTGATGGTCCATATAGGTCCATAATCATTAGACAATTTTCTATTAATGATTTTTTATTTTTATTATATTTACTAGTGAATGAAACCTCCGCAAGCGAAGTTGTTTGAATTTTCCTTTGTAGTTTTTTTTGTATTTGTTGATTTGAATTATGATGATTTTGTGTTAAATTTCATTGGTTATGTTTTGAGTTAATCCAACCCACACTAAAAAAAATACATTATGTCTTTTTTATTATTGAGATGTTAACTCTAATACTTAAATTTGGCTTTCTATTTCTAAAATTTTAACTTATTTTAATATTTTGCTTGTTTAGTTCCATTAAACAAAAAGTTAGCATTTGACTCGGAAAGAATTACTAAATATGGTGTAGAATCATATTTTTATTTGTAATACGATAAAATACAGATATTTTTATGTGAATGGGGTTTGAGCATAATGTCAATTGATTCTTTTATACAATTTAAATTAAAATTTTACTTTAAAACAGACGTGTTATAATCTTTAAAATTTTATAGGTCTTGCTTATAATTTTCATTAGCTTTCTACTATCTTAAGTAATTTATATTCTTTATTTTATAGCTCGTAAACACATTACAATGTTTTTCAAAAGAAAATTCCACTATACAAATTTTGATTTATCAGGTAACTGTATACTATTTCAAGTTAAATATATCATTACTTCTCGGGCTCTTCGTTTTATTTTTTTTTTATTGTTTTCCGTCTAATTGTTATGCAAGAAACAAAAAGTCCAAAAATAAGGCTAAGTCTACGATTTGGATAGGATATGCTACCAAGCTGAATCAAGTACGTACAAGCAAACAAATAATAACCAAAGTGTTTGAAAAATGCCAAAATAGTATTCTATCGAGCCTCAGGGCCTTCATTGTCCAAAGATGTTTACTCAATATTGTTACTGATTATCTCACGACGCATTGACGACTGATCCATCAACATTGAGGTTCTTTCAACACAGTCTCATAAATTGAGAGATATACTAAGTTACATGTGAACTCACATATATTGCGGTGTCTTTCTGTTCTTCAGTAAATTAAATCGTGATCCACCTGCAAGAATCAAACATTAGGGTTAGAAACTTGCAAAAGTGGTCGAGCTACAGTTTAAAATATGGATGATGATTTTTGTTCTCTTGAGTTTGCGTCTGTTTTCCGGTGTAATACAAAACAGAGAAAAAGAATGAATTCAACTGCTGAATATGTAATACAAAAAGAAATCGAATAGATATGTATATCTAATGATTTATCTCTGTTTTATAACTAATGGTTTTTGTTTTATGTCGATTTATATTTAATCATGTGTACTATGCAAGCACCCAATGGAGACACGAAGCCATTTGTTCTTCTAGCTTCTCAGCAGAGATATGGCATTCCTTAACGAAGGGGCTTCTTCAACGAAGATACTCTGCAGACTGGAACACCATCATCACAATCATATTCGACACAGCCATGCCTTAAGTCGTTTCTTATTAGATAAGTATTTCAGGCAACAATACATAACCTCTAAGTCAACTTTTTTTTTTTTTTTTTTCCATAGATTACACTCTAATAATCGGTATTAGAGTTATAATCTTCTTGTTCAATCTTCATAAGACATTAGTTAATAAGATAATAAAATGTTGTGGGTTGTTTATGATATTGTATACTTCAACAATAGTTTATGTGTTACATTTTCTGTCTACTGCTTATTTTATTGCGTGTGTTATGTTAATGCAAGTTCTTGGTCATGTTTGGACTTGCTCCACTGAGTTGTTGAACTTGTTATCTTTTCAAATATTTTGTAAAACAAATAATTTCTTTTACAATTTTATATATTTGCAGAGAGCAAGCACGAAGCAATGAAGTTTCTGTGAATAAAGTTTATATAAAAGACGTTGATGTGTAATGAAGTCATGCGATCGAGGTAGCGGAAGATCTTGTGAACCATGACCAGGTAATGTCTTTTACAATTTGTGTACTTAGTTATAGCTACAATTGTATAAAGGGAAATGGTTCTGTAAGGGAAATAATTTTCCTTACAATCTAGGTTTATGCATCAAATAAAATTCAAACTTACGCAATATTGACTTCCAAATCCGAGCATAGAAAATACGTAATCAAGAGAGCAGGAAAGATAGTGGATTGGTCGAATAGGAATTCATACATTAAAGTCAGTCAGATAAAACATATGGGGTAAAACATACATGTAAGGTAAAACATTCAACCAAGCATAATTGATTATAACCATTTAAATTTCCTTTATCCTTGCATTAGTGAAAAAGAAAGCCTAAAAATAGAAAAGAAAAAGCCTACAAGAAGAACACATCGCTTTAAAAAGTGAAGCCAAGAAGGAAAGGATGGCAAATATATCAACACCCGATCCATCAAGTAGTGGAGAAACAAGCGGGAAATTCGCCATTAATGGACGAATACGATGAATCATAACTCTCCAACAATGTCGTGTTATGTTTCACGTCTTGATAATGGTGACAATGGTTCTCTTCAAGTGTTGAAGCTAAATCACCAAACCGAAGTGTGCCACAGTGACTAAGATGATCTTCACTGGAACCACACATGTTCTTCATTTCCTCATTTCCTTCAAGCCCTTTCTCCTTATAGTCCTGTGGTAGGCTTACAAGGGCAGGACACTGCTCTTGGGCCAACACCGCACTGAGGTCGATATGGCTTGTGTATTCTCCCAAGAAGGTCGAATCTGTTGACGTGTTTAGGAGAAACGGTGGGATTTCATTAGACGAGATGAGCATGGGAAACTGAGTTTGTGTTTCTTGTGTGGCAAGAAAGAGATTTGTGAGGTGTTGTTGGTCTAAATATGAAAGCGGATTGAAAACGTTGGTGGATTTATCGTAGGAAGTGTAATCCAAGTAAGAGAAGGGAGTTATAGTGGCAACAGGAGGAGTTGTGCTGTCACTAGTTTTGGGAGTGTTCATATTCTCATGGTGAAACTGGAAGTGAGAGCTAGTATTGAGGGTTTTTTCTGAAGTGAAGTGGGATGCGTTTGATGGCTTTTGGTCGATCATTGTATCGATGCTTTTCTCTGGTGGTAACGAGGAAATAAAGGAGTGAGAGAGAGCTCTTAGGGTCGTCGTGTTTGTCTTTTTGAAGATTCTGCATATAGCCCATGAATCCTGCATCCATATCAATTAAATTTATATTAAAAAATAATCTTCAACAAAATAAGAAACTAACTATTTTCAATTAAATGAGAGTTGTATAATCTATAGTATTAACTAACTATATTAAGTTGTATAATCTAAAACGAAATAAGAGACTAACTATTCAAACATAAATATTTGCGGTTAGTGTAATAATTCATTTCATAGTTATAAGAAGATTATTTTAAATATTCACAAAAATGGAAGATTATTTTAAATTTATGTTTCTCGTTTGGGTTAGTAATGTTAAGAAAATACTTGATAAAAACTCCCATCGTTATTTTAAAATATAAACGTACGAGACAAGTTAATCATAGACATTAGACAGGGAAAACACAATATTTAATGAGGCCCTTGAATATATATATATATATACATACATCTCTTGTATTTGTCAATTGTGTCTTTTAAAACAAAAACTTGAAACCATTATTTTTGCTTTCTTAATGTTATAGATTAGAGTTATTAAACCAAATACAAATGGGTTTAAAAACTTAATTATCCTCAGAAACTTCTAACACAAATCTTGCGGCCTTATTAACTAGTAATAGCCTGAGTAGTGCGTCCGTTTCGAGTTTCGACCCTATATTCTTAAAAATAAAGTAAATCTCTAGACAGATCATTGAGTTAATGTGAGCTTACGTTGGGAGGGACAGGAGAATCAAAGAACCTCTTTGAAGAAAGAGATGGTTCGGAGAGAGAAGGCAAACGAAACTCATGCATCATCCAATCAGTCTTAACTCCTTTCGCAGCTCTTCCTTTGTAGAAAACTAATGACTTCTTTAAACCTATACATTTATTTCCTTCAGACGCGTATATAGGCCGGTCCGTTCCCGTGGCTTTCCAAAAACCGGCTCCAGTAACTCGGTTAGGCCTCGAGCTGTTCCTGTACTTCCTGTCCCTTGGACAATAGAAGTACCATTCTTTTTCACCCGTCATCGCAAACTCTACAATATTAAACAACAACAAAAAAACACAGAGATATGTTTAGAGTTCATTTTCTTATATAAACAAAAATAATATAACGTATACAAGTATGTAAGTGTGATATACTTGGAAGATCCCAGGGGTCGTATTTGTAGATATCGAGTTGTCTTATGAGCTCAATGGAGAGAGGGTTGTGTTGAACCTTCCTCTTCAAATAGAAGCTAACGAGCTCTTCGTCGGTTGGATGAAACCTAAACCCGGGCAACAATATATCCTCCATCTTCTGATCCTCGTCGTCATTTCTCTCTCCCATCCTCTAAAACGTCGTTGAAAACCAAAAGAGTTAAAGAGAGAAACCCTAAGTGGAACAAGAGTGAGTTTGGAAGAGAAGTGAAGTGAAGTGATTTAGCTTAAGTTGAAATCAATATATGCTTCCTTGCAAGGGGTCTGAACCCGAAGGACCAGCCGCCATTTCAGCTGAGATTTTTTTGTTTTAAATTTCATTTCTCTTTTATAATTAGTGTCCCAAGAAAGTTTGTTTGAAGCCTTCTTTGGTTTAGTTAATACTGTAGTTTTAAATGGAGCTGAAGGAAAAAGGTTATAAACACGAGGACAAGCGCAAGAAATATAAAATTAAAAGCGTATTATACAATATATACACGCGTGTCTTCCGTATATCAACATATTATGTACATATATCCATGTATTTATCGATACGTACGAACGAAGCAATGTCATACTCCTAACTTCAAAAATCAGTGTCTTGTGCGCATATACACACACGTGTATCTTGTAACATAGACACATGGACGTGCATGAAGTCTACGTATGTCGTTGCCTCGTACGTATACATGTTTGTGTGAGTTTGATTTATGTATTTCGTTAGTTTATAATATGATGTTTTGAGTGATTTCGCAGAGATTTCAAGTTATATAAATAGTTTTATTATTTAATTTAGAGGTACGTTCGACCAATACCAATTCAACATTATATGATAAAATGTTGCATACTATATGTACGAAGACACGAAGTTAATTAAAGACCAACTAATTACAACAGCTTTAATATTGTCGCTTTGCTTTGAAGTCTCTTAATTAATAAAGGAAACAAGGGCCGATCGAGGCCAGCTGCCACTACAAAAGATTCGAAATTAAAGTCAGTCCTCTACTCATAAAAATATTACTAATCAACTGCCTTCAGGTTTCTAATTAAGATTAAACTACAAAGTTTGAAACGGATCCTCAGAATCTGAGAGTTTCTATTCCATTCCTCTTCACAGTTTCTATTCCCACTGACCAATGTCAGAAAACTACAAATTTCAGTCTTGAGTTGAACTTAAAATTAGAAAGCTAAATGGATTTTAGTGGCCAATCAGGGCAATGCCGTTAGTGTATTATACCATTTTACCCCTTCGTTTTATCTGACTAATGACGAAATGGATCTTGTTCGCTTTGACCTTTGTGGTAACTTTCGGATATTTCAATGAACAACTCTCATCAACTTTGACTCATATTGGCCTCTTGAGGTAAGACTTTATATTGAAGCAGTTCGGCTTTTACGTATAAGTTATTTATTTTAATCCATTTATTCTTATTAAAAAGTTATGGTTCAGAAAGTAATAATAACTCTTTCTAACTTCAGAAGTTCAAACTTCATGATATATTAAGATATTTTATGATATAATCGTGAGAGTAATTAGCTGGGTCCAGAGCAGAATCCAAGTAAAAGTATATATCAAGGACTAACAAACTAAGAACGCTGTCAAATTAAAACTATATAGTTGTGGGTCTAAATAGTTGTGGTCTATTTGTAAAAACAATCTGATGTAAATCTGTTTTCGTAGGCGATATACACTCTTTTTATTTCATTTAAGGCAAAATGATGTTAGACCCACAAAAAGTCGGTTGAATGAGTTATTCAAAAGTTATCCTCAATTCTATAAGATTATCGGTTGGTAAACTAACGTATCTTCTAATCATCAGACAGAAGAAAAAACTAATAGCTAGATACTGTATTGCTTTGTTTTCTTTGTTTATAATGAAATTTATAAATAAAAAATTATATACACTATTAAAAAGAATGAGATCAAACAGAAAAATTAAGCAAGACAATGGAAGCTTAGCGAATATCTTTTGTAATCATCCAACGCTGTTGAAGACCACTAAGTTTACTTGGTTCCATGTAAAGCTGAATTCGTTTAGACGTTACAATTTGTGTGGTTAAAGTAAGCACACGCTATAAACGTACGTGTAAATCAATTTAGTGCTGCCTTGACATCAATTCTTCTTCAAGAAAAGATACATATATCTCCAAAGTTCGATGTAACATTTAAATTCGAAAATAGGTTCTGAAGTAAAACAGAAGGTGAAAATAGGTTACTTAAATAAATTATTCACATTTACAAAAGGGGTGCGTGTAGCATTTAATATAAGCCAAAAGTCAAATTTACTCGAATTTCTTGTCATTTTTGTGGGTTTTTTAAATACCGGATACCAAAGTAGTTTAGAATTTCTCAACGCTTTCTTGCTTTTAGTAAAACTCAATCGAGTTAAATTTTAAAATATTTATCCAAGAAGGCAAGAACCTGTTTTCTTTAATCATTTTTTGTATGCATGCATGTACAAGTACCGTCAAATTCATAAATGAACTATTACTACACCGTCAGTCATACTATAGTAGTGTATTGGTTTCCGAAAGTCTAGCAATAATTATGACTAGCTGCTAAGTGACAAGGCAAATGGAATTACTATGAAATTGATGGTGATTACCTCTATGGCTCTATACAAGACTTATAAATATCACTATCAATCAAATGGCAGTCAGTAAATTCTACTAAGTAAACATATTTGGATTGATAAGAAAAATAGATAAACATGTCTGATTAACTTAGTTTGAATGCAATAAGGAAAAGTATTACTGCATGAAAAAACCATACTAAGAGAATTAGGTTTACACGAAAGAAAACGACTTTGATTAAGTGAAATAACTGTTTATTTTGCTGTTTTACATGTTATAGATATCGGAGATATAATGCATGTTTCGTTAAATAGAGTTACTTATATTTTTTAAACGATATGCTAACTCTTATTTTCTTATTTTCTTGTTTTCTTTTGCATTAATTGTAGAATAGTAACCTTAGTTGCTCTTAGTTTTCTCCCATGTTTTTGTAGGTCAACAACCAACCAAAACTTCTTCAGTAGTGTACTACTCCGAGAGGCTTGACTCGATTGTTTTCCATATAACCTACATGGCTACATCCAAAAATTCGAACATCATACTGAATTCAGCATCACGATCATTTAGGAACGTAAGAGGCATTCCTAACGCTATGGTTTTAATAGCGAGAAAAAACAAATATGCTAGATAGTATTTAAAATTCAAGTTGGAAAGATAAACTTCATATATCTAAAATATGCAGAGACGTTCGTGCTATCGAATTTTGAGCAGTAGGTGAAAACTGAAAAGTGAAAACTATAGTCGTATTATATCATTAGTTGGTGTTTTTAATGATATATTAATTCCTTAAACTGTTACATTATTTTGTCATCTTTATAGGTCATAACGCGCGAAAACGAGTTCATCAAACATATCTAAGGCATACAAAATTACTTATAGGAGCTGCCTAGAATTTGTTTTGACGTCATTAAACTAGGGCATCAACAAGCCAGTTGACGAAAAAAACATTAAAAAAATGAACATGTGGAAAACTGGAAAAATAGAATGTAGCTTGATGGTCCTGCTTCACCTGAGTTTAAACTTTGGTATCGACTCCAAAATCAGATCGCACTATAGGCAAAAGTCTAAGGCATAGCTAGGGGGATACGTTAAACCCAATGAAATTCCAAAAAGCCAAGTTTCCTCGGTTTATACCCATTTTGTCTTTCTTCTAGTTTTGACTCTTTTGAGTTTTTACTTCCCGAGCGTGTGCACTTGATGTTAGAGCTCCATTTTTTTTTTTTCATTTTATATAAGAAAATGCATAGTTGATTATTTATTCACAATACGTAATAAATATGAGAAAAAAGTTATTAGTCAAAACTTCAAAGTCTTCAAGCCCAAGCATCCATACCTCTGTCTTCGTGAACATAATTAACCCTCTTCACCACAGTTAATTATGTCCCTCGCCTTCGAGCTATATCTTTTTAATCTTTGACCAAACTTGTTTCCCTTGTTACTTAATTGCTGTGTTAATCATATTTAGCAGTTCAATAACTGTGTTCAGATAATAATAATATGATCCTAGACTAAGAAGATAAAAAGAATTGTGTAGAAAAAGGAAAAAGAATCATACTAACCGGTACCTAGCTCGTATGTTAATGTTAGAAACATATTTTAATGTATGTATAATAAAGAGACAATTAAATTCAGAGTCTCACATGTCATCTATCCATTTTTTTAACAAGAATTTTTTGATTAAAGAAGACAAAAATATATCCAATGCTTTTTTGGTATTCAATACTAATAACTTACTAGCAAGGACTCTTTTGAAAGGGAGGCTGGGTCGTAAATAGAAAGCGTAACAAAAGAAGCCTAAACCATGACTTAAAAAGAAGTCTAATCACAAGTCGTCAAGAATTATAAATACTTCTTCTAAAATTTCTGCAGCAACACAACCATATCATATAGGAAACCAACTCTTCAAGCTCTTTCCGGTTGCTCTGCAACTTCAGAAAAGGGTCCTCTTGATCCCTGTAAAATAGTAAAATGTTCACGAGACAATTAAGTAATTAACAACTTGACTGTCCCTGACACTAGCTAACATAAATGAAAAATAAGTAAAGACAAGCAACTTCAAGTTGAGTAGCCGTGTGTTCCTCCACAAAGGTGACATCGATTCAAATATTTTTTCATTGATACAATCATTAGGATAGTACCTCAGCTCCATTGTATTTGTATCCCTTCATCAGAGCAAATTAAACATTAAAAAAAAATAAAAAAATCTGTAATCCTATACTTTTAGACAACACCTACACTATGTAAGCGGAAGAAAACTACAATATAAGACCATAGCAGAAATGAATATTTAATATCCTCAAACTGGCCAACAACTCTTAACAAGAAAATAAACTTTAGAGACAGAGGCTGTTGACACCAAAAAAAAAAAAAAAAAAAAAAAAAAGGACAAGAAAATAAACTAATCAATAGGCTAAGTCCAGCGGCTAGTAACAGATAACTATCTCGTAATAAACCACGTTAAAGGCCCTCGCAAAAATGCCACATTCTCGTAATAAACACTAATCATCTTTCAACGTAGACATTTTTTCCCTACATTAAAGGCCCTAGCAAAAATGTCTACGTTGAAGGGCTTCAAAT